AGATGCCTTCTTTTGTTCCCGTCGCAGGAGCTCTTGGGCTAGGAAGAAACACAAGGTGAGAAAGGGTTCGTTTCTCCTGCTGGGGAAGAAACGCAAGGTGAGAAAGGGCTCGCTTCTCCTGCCGGTGGGGTGGGATGCAGTGGTGCTCTCGTCCCACCCCAGGGGAGCCACTGATGGCAACCAGTACCGTCCCACAGTAATCATGTTAGATCTACTGAACAGTTACACTGGGGACACCCTTACACCTAGATTGGACACTAAAGCAAAAGAGAATTGTGGCTTTGGGAGAGGGTCCGAAATCCACCTCTGACATTGGAGCATCCTGGGGTGGATCTGCCCATCGCTCTGCCCTAAGAGGTGTGGCACGTTTCACAGAAACCATGGACTGCCGTGGCTGTGACCGCTGCAGCTGCCCGGTGTGGTGCAGGCTGGATCAGCTGGGAACAAGACCTTGGTGGCAAGCACGGGCAATGAAGGGGGTCAGCTTTGCAGGGGGGAATGTGTTTACAGCCCTGAAGTAGAGGTTTGGGTCCTGGGGTTCACCCGTCTCTGCTCTCACCTAGTGCTGTCACACAACTCACCTACGGCCATAAAAATATCGTTTACTTGGTGGTTGGATTTTGCAGATGTCTCCATGAACAGGAGGCCTTTGGTCCTTGCAAACTCTTCCCCCTCCTAGGTGGAGACAAGCAGAGTTATTCTCTCAGCCCACTCTGGGGCTGCTTGTTTGGTTATGGTGGCATTTGATGGCAGGTCAATAAGTGTACGGGCACTTCGTAGATGTCTGAAAGCCTTTTAAATTCTTGGCTTTGCTAGGATATATCCCAGTGCTTGCTTGAGGGGCCTGGGGAGCTCATCACAGATGCTCACCTCAGTGGCGACTTCTCGCTCAGCAGCAAGATCCACCTTGTTGCCCACCAAAGCAATGACGATTTCATCAGGAAGGAATTCCTTCTCCAGCTCCTGTAGCCACAGCTTTGCTCTGTTGAGTGTTTCCTGGGGAGATGGAGACAAAACCACCCGGTGATCTAGGTTTTGATTTAATCCCTTTGTCTCAGGCCTAGCAAAGCTGAATGAGCGGCACCAATCCAAAGAGGGTGAAAGATGTGGTGGGGAGGCTTTGATTACCCTCTTTCTCAGAGAAAGAAGTCACTGGCCCTCAAACACTTTTAGGGATAGATCAGCCTTGGATGGGACGCAGCCTTTCTGCACGGCAGCAGAAATCACCCCCACGATGGTGGTGTGGTCCTGTGCGGATAGGGACAGTCCCTGGCACGTCCCAGGTGGGACGTTCATCTTCTCAAGCAGTGCTCTTGTACTGCTTTCTGCTCTACCAAGGACAAACACCATCATCGGGACACCAGTGCTGCTGCAGCATGGCATAGTTTCGGCACGGGCAGGATCGGTTTCCCCTGCCTTACCTTGTTAGCGATGTCGTAAACGAGGAGAGCAGCATGAGCACCTCGGTAGTAGAGGTGGCAGACGCTGCGGTATTTCTCCTGGCCTGCTGTGTCCCAGATCTCAAACTTGACGGTGGCTACCTCCAGGTTGAGCATCTGTGTGAAGAAGGAGCCTGCAAGCAAGATGCAGGGTGCATGTTTGCTTGCAGCAAGAGCAGAGAGCTTGGATCTGCTGCCGTGAGGTCAAATCCATCCTGAGGGCCAGTAACAATGCTCTAAAGCACAAAATTGGGATGGGTTTCTTATAAGCACTGCCACCGTTGATGGGATGGTGTGCTACAAGGCAGGGTAGGCTGGGAGCCCTTCCTGGCAGGAGATTTGGGTGGATGCACAACAGTTTTGATGCTAGATAGCTCTGAGTTTTGCAGAATAGCCCCCAGATAGAGAGCCACCTCCACCTTGCTGGTGGAGAGCTGTGAATAGGAATATCCACTGAAAAGGGGCTCCCACTGGAGGGAAGACTCCATCCCTGCTTCCAGGGAGCAGATGGCTGCTTGTGGACCAGTCAGAGCCAAGGCAGAGAGACAAGGGGAGCAGCTCCATAGCACCTCACTCTCCTCCAAAAGCTAGCTCTTCAGGCTTCAGGTAGGACCACAACCTCTGTGCCTGCTGTGCCTCCTTAGGGCAAAACCCAGGTGTCTCATGTAAAATGAACATTTATAATTTCTAGGTGCTGCAGGAAGCTGTGCTGATGCCAACGTACAGGGGAGGCAGCTTGATCCCAGCAGGCGTGGGGATCTCGCAGCTCTCCAGGTGGTTTGCCCCAAAGCGTGAGCGTGCACGTGGCCTCCCTTTGGACGTGGGTTGTTCAGCGTGGCTTGTCAGGACAGGGCGTGCAGGGGAAGATGCTCTCCCCTTTTCCAGTGGGACAGAGCGTGGGGTTTGTAGCCCGGCCATGGCCTGGGGAGGTCTGTGCTCTCATCTCTGCAGGCAGGTTGGGGGAACAAGGTGCTGCTGCGAGCCTACCATCGGGCACTGCTGGGGAGGTCCTGCCGCAGCTGGCCACCACCTCCTGGGCTGTCCTGCCTGCTTGCACCCTGGCCCAAACCTCCCTGTTCGAGTGGGACACTGAGGTGGGAGCTGCTCATGTACAGGGGAGACTCTCCTGGGGTGTCAGAATAGCAGTGAGGGCAGCACGGGACCAAGCATGCAAAGGCCAGATGGGCCGTACCGTTTGGACTCCAGGTTTCACTCATTTTGCTGCTCATCTCTCTCCAAAAAGCAGCACTAAGCCAAACCTGTGCAATTTGGATGTGGCTTGGCTTACAGCCTGGTGCTGAGGAAAATGGGCTGCGGAGATCTGAAGATGACAACGAAGGGGGAGGTCTGGCTCTGGGGCAAGTCCGAATCATGTTCAAAAGTGGGTCTGTGCAGTAGCACAGATGTACCAAGTGGATCTCCTGCATCCCACCCTGCTGCAAGGAAGGGCGACAGGACTGGTCTCTTGTCCAGAGCCGTCAAGCTCTTGAAGCCACTCACTCACATCCTACGGTGGGCAGCGACTCCTTGAAGTCATTTTTCACGTATCGGTAAGCCAGGCTTGACTTTCCCACTGACGTGCTCCCCAGCAGAACCACCTTGTAGATGTAGGTGGGATGAATGCCCTCCAGGGAGGTGCCCGGCATCGCTTTCTGTGCCATGCCCTGCAAGGAAACCAACTCCATTCAACGTGTGTCTGCACTCATCCCAGGTCCATCAGCTGAGCCTCCTGCATTGACTCCTGAGCAGCGGCAGCACGGCAGGTGGGGTTTAACCTCGAAATAAACTAGAATAAAATCATTAATATCCTGAATCAAATTTAGTACATCAAACCATCTGCCACTGTCGGTTATGACCAGAGGGTGGAGATCTTTAGGTAGAAATGTGATGCCTTCTTGGATGTAGACAAGGAGATTAGATTGGGTGCGTCTCCTCTAAAGAGAGGACATGCCAGAGAAAGTTAACAGCAGAGGGACATCACTTATGGCTGTGCCTTGCTCTTGAGCACGCCTCCTTCCTGAAAGCCCTGGTGAAGAGCTTAGGCTGATGTTGCACATTTATTGTGGGTCTAGGTCAAAAGTTATACCAGGAGACCCTAACTTAGGCTGGAAGTGAGCTCGGGCATGGAGGTGACTCTGCTACCAGCTTGCTAAGGACACTACCCGGAGAATGGCTGGGCACCTCAAGAGCTGATGGGCTTTGCAGCAGCACTGCTTTGAGTCAGCATGTTGCTCGCCAGGGTGAAAAAGCAGGAGGGAGAGGACCTGACTCAAGCAGCCTTGAGGACAGCAGCACACAAAGCAGATGGCACACACTTCTGCACCATGGATTAAGAAACCCTGGGCAGACCAAGCCCGTGAAGTCTCATGACCGTTGCACCACGGAGTGTGACTCTTCATCACTCGGGGTGGAGCTCCCCGGCACCGTGACCAGGGATGGTGGGGGAGCACGGCCCAAAATAACAGTGGTTGCCCCAAACCTGACTCGAAGAGAGCTGCTGCAGAGCGTTGGCCGTACCCCAGGAAGAGGATGGTCCATGTGAGCCCTCCCGGGTGGCACGTGTCCCCTTCTCCCAGCCTTGAGCTCAAGGAAGTGACATTGCCCCACTGTCGGTGGGAATTGTCAGTGCAGGGTGGCAAATAACGCTGTCTTGCTGCTAGCCAAAGCTTTGCCCTGGCTCCTTCTTACAGAGCTCCTCCTCCAAAAATACTCAGCTCCCGTGGAGAGCTATGCAGGAGAGAGGGAGGTTCACACAGAGCTTGAAGATGAAGTGTTGAACTGGGCAGGAGAGGGCACGAGATGACCTCGCATGCACTTATCCCAACTCATATGCCGCAGCAAAGGGAAAACACATCACCAGCAAGCCCATAACTGCTATGTACAGAGATGGGATGTGCCTCCTATATAGATCTAATCCTCTAACACCCAAAGGCAGCAGAGGAGCCTTGGGAAGGATGCTGAAATGTTCATGTTCTGCTGCTGGTCCCTGCCTGTGTGCCCTGACCTCCTCGCCACTATTGCGTGCCAGACGAAGAGCCTCCCATGCCGAGGCGAACGCTGCTGGTGCGGGGTGCTTCCCTCCGCGTGCTTTTGACGAAAGCCCTGGTCAGCCAGAGAGCAGAGACCTGCAAGACTTATAAGGAAGATTTAGTGCAATTACTCCAATTTCTACCTGAGGCTGACAGGAGTCTGGCATGCAGAACTTGCAGGTGAGCAAGAAGTAGCAGCTTTATAAAGACACCAAACAGTGGTCCCGGCCCAGGAAGGTCTCTGCAGCTCCCTTATCTGACAAAAGCCTCTTTTTTTCTGCCTGCTCCTCATCCCACATCTCTCCTTTATTTTGCCTCTCTTCCCCCTGCAATCCAGCAGGCTCCAGACCTTTAATTCTTCTCCCTTCCTTGAGCTGTTATCAAAGCAGGCTGTCATTAAAAGCATTCCTTGGTGTTGGCTGAGCCTGGGTCTGTATCTTTAGATGCGAGTGGGGTTTTTTTGCTCAGTGAGATGCATTTTCATCCCCTTAAAAACCAGGGGTAAAATCATGTCTCCCAGCTCATACAGCCCAGTGACAAAGAGCAGGGTGGCAGTTTGTGCAGGACAGGTAGTTAGGGGTGGGTTAGATTTTTTTTAAGCAGGAAAAAGATAAACCCTGTGGCACAGCAAGGAGCACATATGCTCCTTATAGCATTAAATACCTACATTTGCCTCTTCGTAGGCCAGGAAATAAGACTGTTATCCTTTCTGAGTAGTTACCTTAGCTACTGTAGGTGAAAAGCCATAAAAGTTTCCAGGGAAGCAATAAGCTGCATGAAAAACACCCAAGTTTGTCTGTATTAAACGCAGTTTCTCATTACCTCACTCTGCTGCTCTCTGTTTAACCCTGGAAGGCTGTACTGATGCTGGAACAAAGCTCAGCTGAGAATTACTGCAACGACAGAAATTTCCTTGCAACCTTTTGCTCATTTGAAACAATTTATTTTCCATGTTAAAAGACAGAAGGTGAGTCTCCCTTTCTACCTGAGGAGAATGGTAAGGAAGCAAAACAAGTGGCTTTATTCTGATTCAATGGAAAATAGGATTTAGGGGAAACTCTTTTCTTTCTCCTTTTTTTGTTGGAAAAGAAGCGTACAGAGTAAAAACCCTGTGCCTGCTAGCTAAGAGACTATGCGGAAAAGCCCTCCAGACATCTCACGTGGCTGGTAGTCACCCTTCTGTGGCTACTGCCTGCCTTGGGGAAAAGCTTGTCAGCTAGACCCAGCTTAGGGTTACAGTCGGCTCTGCAAATCCAGGATGTTGCTCCGACAGGGTCACCAAACCCCGCTCCAGGTGCGGATAACGGTGCTGCTGCCTTGCAGCAAACAGCATCCCTGTTCTCTCAGCCAGCACCTGCGCTGTCGACGAAGTAGAAGCTCGTTCTTCATCTGGAAACCTCCCTGACTTCCCTGGACTGCCTGATCATATCCAGAAGAAATATTTAAAGCATTTTTCTATGAGTTAAGCCCCAGCAGAGTGCACCTGCATGCCAGGAAGCTTCTGTTGGCATAACTAGAATAAGTTTGATTTATCTCACTACAAACTTGAAACTCTGAAGAAGTCACTGATGCTTCTGTGCGAAATGGCTTTAGCGAATTTTCTGACGCAGGCTTTCAAAGGCTGAAATGTAACCTGAACGGGGACTGCTTAGACGCTGGATTTGGGGGCTTTTTAGTTTGATCCTGGTAAAGAATAACTTGACAATTTAGGGAGCAGCCTGGGGAACAGCTGAGGTGGTACAAGTCCTGTCCTCACGCCTAGAGGCTACGCTGAGGGGCAGGGAAAGCTGAACCTGCTGAGATTCAGTATAAAGAGCCAGAGATTAGTCTAGACTAATTTCTCTTCAATCGACTGTAAAAATCCTGTTGGTGGATTTAGTCACCAGATACAGTTCAGTATTTTGTGACAGCTGTGTCTAGCAGCAGATATTTGGGGCAGGCTTGCCTGATCTTACACTTACCTAGACGGTGAGTACCGAAACAGCCGCAACGCAGATCATTTCTCACTTCCTAAAGGAGGACTAAGCACCGCTGCACCCAGGAAATTGTGTTCTCGGCCAGACATCCCCGTTCCCCCGTCTCGATGTCTCCTCTCTCCTTCCCGTGGGCAATGGGTGGGTAGGCGGAGGCAGCTCCGACCAGCATTAAGCAACTTCCCCTATGGAGCCCACTGGTTTAATGTAAATCAACTTAAAGGTAATCCGTTTGCAAGGTACGGCAGCAACACCACATCAGTGATACTGCGCTTGGACCGCCCGCCCTCACTGTTTCCAAGAAGGAACCTGACAAATCTGTTTATGAGGGTGACTCAGTTGTTTATAATTAGCAGGAAAGTGGACTTTATCTAAGGAGCATCCTTGCAAACTCATGTTTTATGGGCATAAACACTAGTAATAAAAATCCAGAAACATGAGGTGGCAGAGCAGATATTTGCACTGGAACGCAACAGCAAGGGCTTGGCTTTTGCCACTCAATAAAATAGTATCTCTGCAGTATTTTTAACCTGGGGAGGAGGAGATTCTGGTATATTTTTTGTCAGGGGATAAGCCTCTTATTTCCAAAGGAAAACAGTAAAAAAAAAAAGAAAAGAAATGCGTACCTTTGGGGGCGGAGATACTAAGTGTTAATTTAAGACTCTATTTAACTTCCTGGGAAATTAATGATGTTTAAATCTAACGATGCCTAACCGATGTCTAAGCTTTCTAAACCACAAGCTCTAACAAAATCCTAAAACCATTAAAGACACTTGCTAGGCTTCCACAGGAGCACAGCAGTGAATAAGAACTACAATGAGCTCCTCAGGGGAAAAAAAACAAGAGTCCGATGCTACCTGTGTAAGTCTGCAGTATCTAGCCCTGCAATTTTGGGATACGATGCTTTAGGTTCTTACAGGTTTAGATTCCCAACCATCCCACCCCCCAGATAGTGGTCATGCACCTACCTCCCCAATTAACTTCTAGCATTCAACTCAAAGGACTCCTCTGCTTTTAGGAGCCTCCTCCCACCTCAGAGCTAAAGCTCTTGCGGTGCCGCTGTAGGATCATGGCCGCTTGGAAAGTTCGCTTAAGCCAAGGTTACCAGGGGATACGAAAATCCCAACTGCAAAGACTTAATACGTAAACATAGTGCTGATTTCTCAATGCGATCAGCTCACTCTCCTCAAAGCAAAGGGGAAGAGAATAAGGGTCATTAAGTGTGCAGCCGGAGCGGGTTGGGGAAATAAGGCAGCAATAATCGGAGATCGCCCTGGGCTGTGGGTGAGACCAAGTGCTCTGCTAAGAGCTTTGCAGCAGCTCTTCAGCTGCCCGAGAGGATAGGGGTAGGGCAGAGGTCTTCCTAAGTCTTCCTAAAATCTCTTCTCTTGGGCAGGGAGCCGATGAAGACGGTGCTGGATGCCCCTTTGCGGCTGGGATGCGCGGCTGCTTCCCAGCGGGAGGATCGGAGTGTCGGGAGCTTGTCTGGGAAAGGCACCTCGGAGATGGTGGGTCGGGGCTGGGGCCTGCCCTGCGGGGAATCCCCCGGCGGACGATGCCTTTACCTTCCCGAAGCCTTGCTCTCCTCCCAGCGCTCCAGTCCGTGGCATCAGGGGTCGTGGGACAACGGCCCCGTCCGGCTGCCTGAGCCTCTCCATG